ATGGACCCTCGGTGTCAAATCTTTCTTGTGGCGGCTAGCTTTAAGAGAGTTGCAGTCCGTGTACACCACGAATGGGCGGCCATGTAGATAATGGCGGAAATGTTTGACTGCATTGTAGACAGCCAACGTTGGCCATCTGTCGTGACGAATGCAGTGCGTTCAATAGAGTCTGGATGTATGGGTATCTGGTAAGAGCCACTGGCCATATCAAGACTCGTGAAATACTTGCTGCCACGCAATCTATCAATTTGATCTGCAATAAGAGGCAGTGGGTATTTATGTGAGACTGTATTTTCATTCAACTCCCTAAAATCAATTAACAAACGATTACTTCCATTGTTCTTCTTTACCAACAACATTGGGTTCGCAAAAGGGGAGCAACTTGGTCGTATGACTTTGGATGCCAACAGTTCCTGTATTTTATCCCTCACTAGCAATTTTTCTTCCGTGCTGAGCCTATATGGACGCCTCATTACCGTTTTATTGACATCAATTAGACGGATTTCCAGTTCGCCTGTGGTAACTCGTCGGCTTGGAATACCCTTTATGAATCCTGATGCATGTACCTTGAATATTTCTGCCAGTTCGGCTTTATAGGACGGACTCAGATTCACATCACCATTTATGGAATCAATCAAATTTAATTCAGCAATGTTGGACAATGTATTGACTGTGTTAATTTTGTACAGAATGAATTTGTTAGCATCTATAGTTACACCAAGACCCTGGCCTAGAATTTCACGACCGATCAGCACGTCATACTTTTAAAATTTATCCATCACTACTTGAAACAAAATTTCTATGGAAAGTTTACATATTTTTACAGTGGCTAGAATTTGCATTGTGCATGTAACAGACCCTTAGCCTATGCCACTTATAAGCACTGTGTTGTTGATCTTCTTACCCACTAACTTATCTGATAATTTCTCTTTTATTAGAGAGCACTCTGCTCCGGAATCAAAAAAGTATGGAACGGGCTCACCATGTTGGTACAGGATTCCCTTTGGCTCTACGACGGTGCACACAACGCAGTTGTTGCTTCAGTTCGCTTCGTGTTGTTATGTTTGTTGTAAAAAGCAAACGTTGCAGCCGTTTGTCCAATTGCGAAGCGTGAGCCAGCACTACCGAAACCGCAATCTCTTCATTGCTCATCTTCTTCCACTTTGCTAACAGTGCTGTTACTTGTCTGCTAGCATATACAGACAAACACTCGCTTTGCTTTGGTACACTGCTGAACATGTTAAGCAAAATGGCAGCCGGCGTCTCAACACCTTCGTAACGTTGAATGAAGAGTTCTCGGAATTCTTGCCACTGAGATGCTACTCCGTCCAGAGAGTCACTTAGTGCCATAACAAGGGCGCCACCTTCCAGAGTGTTCTCTGCCATGATGATACCGACGGTTTTGCAACAAGCAGCAGCGCCAGCATTAGCAGCGTCTGGGCAGAACTTTGGTAGCGTCACTTTGTTGCTGGGTTGCGTCGCCATTTTTTCTGTCTGCATGGATTTAATTAGATCCAGCAACTTTTTGTTTTGTGCTTCCAATAAAGCACGCCATTGATCATCGGATAAGTCTCGTGGTGAAGCGGATCCCACTTCTGATGTCGGAGATGACCGAGCTTGCGCCGGGAATGGAGGTGTCTCATCCTTTTCTGCCATATCAATTTCAGGGTAGCACTGCAAGTCGCCTGTGTTGTTCTGCTCTTAGCCTTCTCGAACTGACTGACTCGCAAGCCCTTCCGCGCTCTCATTCTCCTTCTCCTCTTTCGTCCTTTTTTTTGCTACAACTGTACTAAGAGTAGAACAACTACAGGCGCCATGCACATCTGAATCAAGTACAAATGATACTCTCCTTGTATAACAAAATTATCTCTCTCTCTTTTGATGCAACGGAATATTTACATGATTTCAAATTCAAATCTTCTTCTTTGTGCAATTAAAAATAATTTCAGTTAAATTCGATCCCCGACACTTATAAGTCCCCGTAAGATTAATAGCACGCATGTTTAGCTGCACCCCAATATAAATCTCGGAAGTTCCAGTGAAGAATAAGAAGAGGAAACGGTGGCACACAATTTTGTCCTGTCCGGCTTGTACTTGTCGAGTGGATCGATCAGAAAGCTTGATGTTTATCATTGCATATTACTTATGTATCTAGTATCAAAATTAATGTTGTTCAGACATGCCATTGCATAGGTTCCCGAAGACTGAAAGATTCTGAAATGCACACCGTTGACCGTCGGAAGAGCACTAGTAGATTGTATAATCAACTTTTATGTCCAGGATATTGCATATTTATTCCAGTTAAGCTCGAGATTTCGATGGCATTGATAGCAGCGTTGCCAACTCTTCCCCATTACCATGTTCATTTCTAAACCCAAACTTAGGCTATGTGATTTGAACTACAGCTCCTTTAACAGTCACTTTGTGGCCACCATATTTAAAACCTCGCTCAACCGGCACCATGCCGGTTACCCAATTTGTGTTGTATTCCAAAGCAGATTAAATATAAATCTGGGAGTATCTCTATGCTAGGTGATAATGTTTCTCGTCGTCTCCTCCCAGTATGTTAGAACAGCAGTGTCTTCATTCATTTAGGACCACATGCGATCTGTAACTCCTTCGTTTTTATACATCCAGGCACTCTCCTAGCTTTATTTACTTTGAAAATAAAATAATAAATACAAAAATGTTTTGTATTTATTATACTTTTTATACAAAGTCCCACACAAATTGAAAAGTTTCGCTGTGCAAATCACTTTTTGGAGAAAGAATATATACACAACGCCAATGCCGACCTATAGCAGTTTTAAAACAGAATTCAATCCAGATTCTTCTGTAGGGTGTGTAGACAGGACATAAGTTTCATTGGCACGTATATAACGGAACAGAACCTCTCAATCAATTAAACAAAAACAACGACACTGCTATTGCTAAACGAGGTAATTGCACCCCCGCAGTTGAGGGTGGACGCGATAATACAGTGAGTGCGGAGGCAATACAGCACTGTTGAAATACAGCAATAATTTATAGCTTTTCCGTGGGAAGCTGGAACGACTGGTTACCAGAGATATCACTGGCTTTTAACACCAGCACGTCAGAATTGACGGGATAGGGTCGGGAACTGCTTAGGTTACGTGTTAGGTGTTTATTGCGAATACAGAAATATGGAAAAACAAGAAAGGAAAGCTAACTTCGGGCGGAGCCGAAGTTGATATACCCTTGCAGAATACTCTGTAAATTATATTCTCCAAAATTATTCATATGATGCATTCTTGATACTCATAAAAATCCCAACACCAAAGTTATGGCATTACCGATCAATCAGTTATATGACAGCTATAGGATATAGTCGGCCGATTCTTATGAAATTTGGTAGGATTGATTGGCCAAATATAAAACCCATAGAAAATCTCAGCTTCATAACTTTACAATAATCAAAGTTATGGCATTTCCGATTGATCAGTTATATGGCAGCTATTGGATATAGTCGGCCGATCCCGGCCGTTCCGATTTATATACTGCGTGCAAAGGAAAGAAGGGTGTGTGCAAAGTTTCAATTCGATATCTTTAAAACTGAGAGACTAGTTTGCGTATAAACAGACAGACGGACATGCTTATATCAACTCAGGAGCTGATCCTGATCAAGAATATACATATAGACTTTATAGGGTCGGAGATGTCTCCTTCACTGCGTTGCACACTTTTGACTAAAATTAGGGTATTACTCTGCAAGGGTATAAAAAACACAGAGCCTACATAAACTAAAACCGGTGGAAGGCGATTTTTTTGTGGAAAAGTTTCAATCATCGTTGAGACTCGAGCCTCCAAAACGATTCCACTCTGACAAATGGTGCTTCCGTGAAAAGAACTCGGTTCGTAATCGGTTCCACCGACCTGGAGAATTCCAGGGTATGGTTTAGGAAACAGCCTCAGACCGGGTCACGATCGCCGGATTCAGTAAAAAAAAATCGGTTCCTCCCAGAAATCACTTTTACGGCTTCTACCCGACAGAAGTCCGAAGGCGATTTCTAAGACGACCATTTTCAATTAATGTATTTCCAAGAGAATATGCTGGAAGTGTCATTTGCCTTTAATGACCCGTTCAAAAATTAAAAAAAATACTATTATTTTTTATAAAACGATTTTTTTAAATAAAGTCACAAGCCAGCCTTATTATATTTAAAAAAATACAACAAAAATATTTTTTTATTTTGTTTTGATTTTTTTTATAAAATTTTAGGACCTTGACAAAAAAATTTTGTTCGACGACTTGCCATGTCCATCCATCTGTCCGTCCGTTTTTCCGTCCGTAAACAAGTCCCTCAGTTTTAAAGCGATCTGCTTGAAACTTTCCCAAAAGTTGACTTTCTATTGCAGGTAGTATATAAGTCGGAACGAGCCGGATCGGGCGAATATATTATATAGTTCGCATTAAAACAATAGAAAAAATTTTTTTTTTAAATTATAACTGTTGTTTTCAATTTTTTTGTTGTTCTTTGGGATTTGGCAATATGTAAATATTTTGGAATTACGGTTTTAATTAAATTAAAATCGGACAACAATATCATATAGCTGCCATAGAAACGATGGCAAAATGCAGCGCAAAATCGACATAGCTTCATTGCTGTTAGTAATATAGGCATAGAAATCGTAATTTAGTTGATTTGTAATAACTGCAAGGTTATTTAAACTTCGGCTTTCCTTTCATATCTTGTTTTTGTTTGATATAGATATATGATTGAATTAATTTTTAGAGCTGGTGGAAACGACCATATCCTTAAATCTTAATTTGAAAGATACCAGTTATACTTGCACTTTTATTGCCGTAGAATTAATATAATCTCATCCTACTCAATCTTATCTCACCTAATAATTACAAATTTCACTTTTTATGAATGAATAAATTACTTGTAATTAAACAGAAGTTATGTAGTATAATAATATTAACAGAATACATTCCCACGCACAACAACAACGGCTCAATACTCAAAGGCAATAAATAACTTCATTGATATTTTTATTGTGATTTTATAATGTATAACCGAATTTTTTCGGTGGGAATGCTTTAATGAAAGCAAAACCGTAATAAGATTATAACTTCCTATAATGAATATAACACAGGTATTTTTCCTTAATGGAAACACAAAAACACTCATGAATAGTAGGTATTTGATCGATATGCACAAGCAGCAAAATAGGACGTAGCCCCAACATATATGTATGTACACAAAAGATATTCATATACATGGATCTTGTATATGTTCTCTCTATGTCAATCTTGGAAATCAAAGGCTTCTAATTAGATAATTACATTAGACTTTGTCCCTTAATGCTACCGACACTCGATTTCAGTCGTTACTGAAAATTTGATGTATGTTGCATACATACATATTTTTTTATTGTATATTTTACCTTATATGAGTTTGCATGCACACATATACACTGTTGAGAATATTTTCCCGTTTCCCAAGGTATAATCTATGGGCGCCAAAGTCAAAACACTTTTACTTAAATAGGAAGGTATGCCTTTTTGCTACAGCAAACCATCAAGTGTATCATTTTTTTTTGACATTATATATATGTATATCTATATGTCGGGTTTGTTTTTGTTTTATATTGATTAAATTTTAACTTACATATACATCTTTAGATCTATGAACGATGAAGAAAAATAAATCTACGGGCATACAAAATTCTAAGTCCATTCGTCTATCAGTCGATCCACTTTTATATTCTTCACAACATGGTCTTGCTTTCCATACATACTTAGTATCGAATCATTTGAAGCTTTTGGGTGTGTGTCTTGAGTCACAGAATGCGATAGTCAATGGTCAATGACCAACGGAACTGGTCATTGATCTCTTAATCATCAACAATGGAATAAACGAGAGATATATAATCAAAGTCAGCTTCTCTGCCTGATGGCCTGTTTTGACCCTGAAGAGCTTGGTTTTGGCCAGTTTGTCGCCATGTTGAGTTGGTGCTATTAGTTAGGCTAGAAGCGCTAGACTGAACACCGGTTACAGTTACATTTGAACTACTCTTTGAGCCAGCATTGTTTGCAGATCCTGGCCCACCATTTATGGAATTGCTACTCGCTGTAACACTTCCTACAGAACCTGTTCCAGAGCTTGCAGCACCACCAGAAGGATTAGAGACAGATCCTCCACTAGATCCAAGTAGATTCGAATTTGCGACATTTGGAATCGGGTTACTGCCACCGCCTCCACTGCCGTTGCCACTGCCACTGCTATTGCCATTATTGCCGCTGCTGCCGCCATTTCCGTTACCGTTGCCGTTGCTACTGTTTCCAGACAAACTAGCCCCTGAGCTGCTAGCGCCACTATTGGATGGAGTGCCAACGCCTCCGCCGTTGCCAGCACTACTTCCACTAGAGCTTGCAGATGAATTTGTTTGTGGTAAGTGCTGCATTATGTTCTGCACCTCATTCTCGCTCGGAGATTCAGCAAATATTGTGGTGTTGGAGAGAACACAGTTGTTTAACGCCATTTGCGCTTTGTTCGCCTCCTCTCGAGTTGTATATTTACATAAGGCAATTCCTTGGTTCAAATATAGGTGAAAGCTAACGAGGGGACCATGCTGCATACACAGTGTACGTAAAGTTGGACCGTCAATCTAAAAAAAACATACGCAATTAAATGGTTAATAAATTAGTCCGCAATGTGAAGAAGCAAATTCTGTCCTCGACAAAAAACTTTTGTTTTGTTGCGACTTAGTTAGTGATCTGTTATGCAGAGTATTATATTGTTTCTGTGGCAGATAAAAGGTAAAATAGTCGTCCAAACCGACTTTGATACTACTGACAACATACAGTTTGAAAAAGTTTCATCCAAATAGTTTTAAAATTGAGAAACTAGTTTGCGCAGAATCGGTCGTGGCTAGATCGTTAATAATTTTCCTGATCATAATACTAAATACTATATAACTTCGAAAAATGTATTCCACACTGCGTGAAAAACTTTACATTAAAAACTTGGGCGGCGTTATAGCACCTATAAAATTAATTTGACCTGCAATATAAATACTACTTTTGTGAAATTGCTAATGAAATAACCCTGTTAGCTACTAAGCAAGTACGATCACCAGAACCGTTAAATAAGCAATGTAGATACCGCATCTATTTACTGGACAAAAAAACCTTAATTATTCAGAATAGAAACATGTAAGTTCGAAAGCGTAGCAGAAGGCATCTTCATATCGTATATCTGCCACAGGCACGTTCGGTTCAAATTTGTTACATTTATTTTATGTATTTATGTAATGAGAAAATTGTTTTAAAAATGTAGGTCTAGTCGTTTAAAAACAATTGACATTTATAATATAGTTACTTCTAAGTCGGATCGAGACGGACAATATCATTTAGCTCCCATAGAAACAATCGGAAAATAATTTTTTTTCATATTTGAAACACCATCCAAATTTTCTTTATAGAATATCCGTTGAACAGGATTCTTACAATTGAGTTTTCATTTCCTATGACTCACTTTTTGTCACAAAATTTAATATCGTTGCGATCCTAACGACTTTTTTACCACTTTATTTTATATTGCCCCTTCACTGCGTTGCAAAGTTCTAACTGAATTTATAATTGGACAAAGTGCCTTTTACACGTATGAGATAAGTAGGTATTGTTAAATTGAAGCTCTGACACTTTAAACATACCTGAGCTGTTAGATTTTTAAGAAGCAACCAACTAGAGCCCCATGAAGTATTACCACCTGTCCAAGTTGAATTTGGAGTTTGACCACCACTTCGAGCCTGCAGCCAACCATTAGCACCTCCGCTGATGGTAGATGATGTTGAGGTACTACAATTTCCTCCGTTACCAGATTTATTTGAATTGGCAGTCAATCCGGGGGGGGTCCTCGAGACGATGATTTATTTAGAGGGCTTGTCCAAAGCTCAGAAGTTGCGGCACATTGCTGGCTATTATCAGACCAGCTATACCATTAAAAAACACAATTGATTCAGCCCTATTTTGTTTTTAACATCATTTAAAACTTACCCTGGGAAATTTTGGTTTGGATTAAAACTCCATGTGGACGACGATAAACTTAGGGGCGGCAAATCAGTCGGAGAATTTTTGCCGGTATTGGCAAATATGTCAGCATCTTTTGGCGTTGAATTAATGGATAGTGGAGATCTTGCAACGCTTCCAGGAGTGATGCTGGGATCGTCTTCTATGCTTTTGATCTGAGAACCCTTAAAAGCAAACTTCTGCTTGGATATGTTTCGGTTTTATGTAATTGAACAGTTTTACCTTCCATGGTTTTCCTGGCTCGAACTCTTGGACCAGGTCGGTGTAAGCAGTTGCTGCTGAAGTTGGCTGAGCAACTGACCAGTCTTTATTCTCGTTATCAGATGAGGGCTCTGGCCAACCGTCCCCAATATTGCGTCCAGTTGACCACGTACTATTAAATTCGATGATCAATGTTACAAAAAAATTTATTATTTGGTTTTTTCATATGGATTCATATTTTAAGAGTGTGAAAATTAATTTGTTGGAAAAAATTTTAGTAGCACATAAGTTAAATAAGCAAGAAAGAAAACTTTCTTACAAAATGTATATATATACCATAATGCAGGTTTGAATTTTATATTTTTGGCTTTTTTCTATCTTTAAATAAATAGTTGGCTTGCTCTTATTTACATAGTTGTATTAGAAGAGATGCACTGTGTTCAAAATTATATTACACATAAATAATATGGCGATCCTATTTAAAACCATTACAAACTCAAAATCTAATTTAATAGATATTCAATAAACATTAATTTGAAATTATAGAATATTAATCATTTTTTTACCAAAACTATTGGCTATTTTCAAAGAGATACATACCCATCATTTTGTAGGCCCAAAGAGCTTATGTTGCTTGAGTTGTTCGGTAAATTTTGTTTAGTTGCCCCTGGGGCACGGGAAAATTCCGTACTGTCAGAGTTGATGTCCTTGTCTAATACTGGAAGCTTCCACTGATTTAATCGGGATTGTTGATTGGACGCTCCTTGATATCCACCACTTGGCTGAAAACATTTTGTAAATTTCTTAAAATTGTTCATGATTTATGTTGGAGCCTTTTTCTTTTATAATTTTGGTCGTGTGTCAAAAAAATGTGTCTTAAAGGACACTTTGGCTGATAAGTTTAAAAGGAAATCGGGTAAGGTCCAAAAAAAATTTTTTGCTAGTTCAAGCAGAGCGAGCTGGTGCTTATTTTATACAAGTTTTTGTGAAAACTTTGGTATAAAAATGAACATTTGCTCAAACTACCTACAATTTTAAATTTTTACTCAGTTGTTTCCCTTTAAACGATCGCTTTTTAAATCTTTTAACTAAAGGAGTGTCCTTTTGGACACTACCAAAAACGTCACAATAAAAAAGGAAACAAAACTATTATGGGGGTAAATTTTGAAACCCTTTTTTTAATTTTTTTTCTGAATGCACAACGTTTGAAGAATATTGCGTTCAAATTGTAGATTGATCCGAGTAAAACTTCCGAAGTTATGGCAGTTGAAAATAGGTGAGTCAGCTCGTTTTGTATGCGATTTTTGGGTGTCCAAAACTTTAAACGCTCTCCTGAAAAGTTGCAATTTAAAAGTCGGTGAAGACGATCCTGCAAAATCTACTGAACGAATCGTTTTGAAATTTTCTGTACCTAAATCCTCAGGTACTGACGTCGATTTTTATACCCTTGCAGAGGGTATTATAATTTTGGTCAAAAGTGTGCAACGCAGTGAAGGAGACATCTCCGACCCTATAAAGTATATATATTCTTGATCAGGATCACCTCCTGAGTTGATATAGCCATGTCCGTCTGTCCGTCTGTCTGTCTGTCTGTCCGTCTGTCTGTCCGTCTGTCTGTCCGTCTGTCTGTTTCTTCGCGAACTAGTCTCTCAGTTTTAAAGATATCGAATTGAAACTTTGCACACACCCTTCTTTCCTTTGCACGCAGTATATAAGTCGGAACGGCCGGGATCGACCGACTATATCCTATAGCTGCCATATAACTGATTGATCGGAAATGCCATAACTCTGCTGTTTGTTAAGTTAGGAAGTTGGGACTCTCTATGGGTATTATATTTGGCCAATCAATCTGACGTACCAAATTTCATAAGGATCGGCCGACTATATCCTATAGCTGCTATATAACTGATTGATCGGAAATGCCATAACTTTGGTGTTTGTAAAGTTAGGAAGTTGGGATTTTCTATGGGTTTTATATTTGGCCAATTAATCCGACCTACCAAATTTCATAAGGATCGGCCGACTATATTCTATAGCTTCCATATACATAACTGAACGATTGGAAATGCCATAACTTTGGTGTTTTTAAAGTTAGGAAGTTGGGATTTTTTATGAGTATTAAGAATGCATCATATGAATAATTTTGGAGAATATAATTTGCAGAATATTCTGCAAGGGTATTTAAACTTCGGCTCCGCCCGAAGTTAGCTTTCCTTTCTTGTTTTTTGTACTATTTTATATATTCTATAGTATATATAGAATTTTTAGGCTAAAATCTCGTTTTTGCCTTCAAATTGTTACCAAAAATCCAAAAATTTAATAAAAAAAACTCTATGTAGTTACCTCTAGGAACAAATTAACTAATAAACAATTATTTTTCTGATGACGAGTTATGCTTTTCACCAAAAAACCTTTTTTCTTGGAGGCGCCTACGGAGCTTTGCTGCGAACGGCTCATTTATTTTGTTTTTTTATGAAAATTTGTGAAAACGTAGATTAAATGTTGTACTTTAATAGCTTATAAAATAATTGATCTGATACTCAGGACAATCCCCTTTAATACCCAAAAGTTTATTGACGACCTTAACTTTGGAAAAAAAAAATTTTCGTTGACCTTACCTTATTAATATTGAGCTCAGAAAAGTTGCTAGGCAAGGTATTTATTGCATCGTGACTTCTTAAATAGTCATTGCCTGAGTGTACAGAGGGATGTTGCTGTTGTTGTGGCTGTTGTTGTTGCTGCTGTTGCGAAGTTGGTTGCATGTTTTGCTGTTTAACATACACAGCCTGTTGTGCATTTATTTGGTTCTGTAAATTCTGAATTTGCTGCTTGTATTTAGATATCGCCACGTTTACTGCCATTGGATTCGCATTTCCCCCGCGAGCGAGGGATTGCTGCGCTGCTTGGAGATGCTGAAAGCAAAACGATTTGAAAAGATATCAAATAGTTTTTAGGAAGTAAAAGTGTATCAAAAATATTATACAAGCAGAGAATATAAAATTACCTTTATATTGCTAAGAAGTTGATTTAGCAGATTAAGGGTAGTTTGTGTTAGCGGTTGAGTCAATATCTGACTAGATATGAAACCACTGTGAATGGCCAACTGAATCTGCTGACCAAGCATTCGAATTTGCTGGCCCGATGGTTGATTGTTTGTATTTGCTGCTATGTTTACAGAAGCTGCTGCTGCCACTGCTGCGTTAGATGTGCTCTGGCCAAATCCGACGGATACGGCGGAATTATTACCAACGGTTTGAGGTCCTACAGCGACGCTATGTTGGCCCTGACTCAAATACTTTTGAACTTGCAAGGCTGTCATGTTGGCATTATTATTTCCACCTCCAGTAACAGCAGTACCACCCATGTTATTAATAATGTTATTCTGCGAAAAGGTTAAAAAAAAAAACATTTTCATTTATCTCAAAAATATTTCAACACATAATTTAAATGTTCTTTAGGGAACCTTTAATAGTTTGAATTTGGAAGATAAAGAAGATATGAGAGCGCGGCCGTATATATCTAGTGCACTTACATGAGGAAAAGACATTGAAGGTTGTCCACTGCTGACTGGGTAACGACCAGAAAATCCTCCGCTACTAGTTGAACTCGTGTGATCAGAATAAGAGCCAAGGTTTTCATCATGTCGGCGCCAGCCATCCATTGCCAAAGATGAGTTAGCACGCAACATATCGGCTGCTTCTTCGATGTTCATATTGGCAGCAACTAATGCCCGCTCCACGTCTTCCTTTTTGAATCCGTTCTCCACAAGAATCCGGAATTGCTTGCTCTGCTTGATCATCTCTGCGTTAATAACATTCACCATCCCAACATTGATTCCCGCTAGCTTTTGCTGTTGTTGAGATTTTCCAATGATCCCACCGTGTGTGTTCCATTCGGATCCCAGATCAACGCTATCCACCACACCTACACCTCCAGCAGTGCTCCAACCAGATGAGGCACTAGTGGGTGGCAGTTTGCTTTGCTTATTTCCCCAACTAACTCCAACTGGAGCTGCATCGCTCCAAGAGTTTTGTGCCAGTGTCGCGTTGGATTTATCATCCACCCAGTTACTACTGGACACAGTTGCACCGCTTGGGGCGGCAACGTTGTGAGTGTCATCTCCCCAAGACGTGACAGCAGATACAGTATTCCTTCCGCTAACATTGTTTGAGTGTACCCACATAGCGCCTCCGTCTGGCTTGTGTTGTACCCCTCCCACAGATGGTAGGCGAGCCTGCTGTCCAACTAAACTATTCATAGGATTATTGGAATTGGGCCCCACTGGAACATTGCTATTGCCAACGCCGGCGATACCGATACCACCCGACTGGTTTTGACCACGCATCAGATGACCACCACGACCAATTGGATCGGTCATATCCTTCCAGTGACCGCTAGCACCCGGAACACGAGTTTGCTGGCCCCACAAAGAAGTACCATCGTCGTAATTAGGAATACTGCGGCGCTGAGGCGGTGGCGATGGTTCCTCCCATCCACTTATCTGCTTTGATATGTCCTTAGGGCCACTCACGCCAACGCCCACAGCTTGCGCCGGCCCCCACTGTGTCGGAATATTGCCCGGCACAGGTCCAGGACCAGGACCTCCGGGACCGATGCCCGGGCCTGATGTTCCTTGAACATTCGTACTCGGAGTTGCAACACTTTGGCTAACCATTTTGTTGATATTTTGTATCTGGTTATGCGACATTTGCGGATGATGACCCCACATTTCTGATGTTCCATTAAGACGACCGGATATCCCACGGGGATCTCCTCGAATGGGATCACGCGGATCAATCATTCGTATGTCGCGGGGGTCACTAGAAGTTCCCCCAGAACCATTACCGCCACGATGATCAACATTCCGAATATCCATCGATCCAGCCAAAGGACGAATTTCGCGATGGTCTCCCCATCCGTTGCCAGTATTGTTGGAGTTTCCGCTACCACCTGCGACGACTCCAGTAGTCCCAGTTAAATTGTTTGCTCCGCTACCTGTTAGAAGTGAAAATAAATTCATTGAAAATACTCGAATTAAAAAATTAATGAGAAAGAAAGCTAACTAACTTCGGCAACAGATTTTTACAGATTATTTTTCATTTTATAATAACTAATATATCGAATTTTTAGGCTTAAATCACGTTTTTGACTTCAAAGTGTTACCAAAAATCCAAAAATTGAATAAAAAAAACTCAACTTAGTTACCTTTATAAACATCTTAACTAATAAACAATTTTTTTAAAAAGTCTTGGCCTAATCGCTCTCGCACTCCCATTTGCGTTCATATAATTACCAGTTGATCCAAGTCCAACGCTAACAACACCCTGTACCCATTGAGGTCCGCTCGATGAAACAACACCTCCTGGTCCAACATTAACTCCGCCTTGATTTACTCCTACTGCCGCTCCAGATCCCACGTTGTTTACCGACCCTCCTGTCCACACACTACTGCTGTCTGCCCCATCATCGTCCTCTCCCCAAGTTCCGCCAAGGTTAGAGGAAGGGGTATGACCCCAAGACGGCTTTGGAACTTGCTGGGCTGTCGGCTGACCACCGTTTCTCAAATTGGACTCCCAAAGATCAGTACCATTGTTAATGCTTGGCTTCCACATTGTCGGTCCGGCAGCATCTTTATTGGTCGGCTCTGGCGAACTGGGTACTTCCCAATTGGTATCCTGGTTGACATGCTGACAGCCCCAGCCATCTTGGGAAAAAAGAGCTTCGCGCATAGTGCTTAAGTGTTCTAACTGATCGTTAGCTTCAAAAGTTGCATTACCAACTATTCCAGCATCAACTTGATCTTTAACGTCATTATCGTAAGAATTTATCGCAATTTTTATGAACTCTTTAATTTGTTAGAAAAGGAATGACTTAACTTTTATCCTTATGCTTTCCGTGTTCTGTAAATATAATTTTAAAAAAATATACATTTATAATTTTTGAATTTTGTATACGATTGTTTATATTTTTAAGACAATAAAACTTTATACTCAATTTGGCAAGTTAGTTCCATAAATGAGTACACGTCGAGAAAAATTTATAGCTCGTAAACGCCAAGTATTTTCGGATCTGTACGTTTACATTCGGCGGGGAAAAAGGTAAATGCTAATTATTTGTATTAACACTCAAAATAAAACGAATACTTGTTTCGTAGTGCTCATAACCTTAATTAGTATCGAAGTGTCTGTCCGTTTCTAAGCCTTTTCTTTATGTTTTGATACATTCAAATAATTGTTAAACATAGATATATGTATATATGAAAATAAATACGTTTCACTGCTTAACATGCTTCCAAATATTAGTTAGGTCTTGAAGCCAAAAAAGGCATATTTGCTGTATTATACTTATGTATATAAAATATTAAATCCAGATATCCAAATATGCCTATCAAGTCCTAGCAGCTATTTCGACACAACATTTTTGGTTGTTATTGGATCATCAAAACATCAAAATGCTGTTAAAATGTAATAGAATTCCCTTAATAACATCTGTTCTTTGTTTTTATTTTAATACGAAAGTTATACAATTGTTGTAGTCCGTCAACCATATTTTGCAGCTATTTTAAATTTTTGTTTAAAGCAGCTGTGCGCTACCAATGATGATATTGGAATATTTCAAAAAATTGTCTTGTTGCATGGCGCAGTTTAGTAGCAGTGGGAATTATAATCGGTCAGATTTACAAAGAAACACATTTTTAGTGTGTTTTTTGCAACCGAGTTGTATTTTATTAACAACAGAATGCATCTTTAATAGCTATAGTGCAACCTGATTATTCCCCTTTCTTTTATAGTGGGAAGTTTATTTGTAGATTATTTTTAATGGAGAACCATGCATTAAATTTTTATTTTTTGGAACAAATCCAGTGGCACAATCGGTTTACCCAAAAAAAACAAGCTTATGTTTCGCCCTGTTTCAATAGTTTATCCCTGCAAATAAATTAGCATCCAGCAATCAAATTACCGCTGCACTTGGGGCACAATTATTTTCCTGCTTGCACTTAGGTAAACTTACAGCATATTATAAAAACACTCTTACACTGTCATTTTGAAATTATTTTTAAAAAACTGTTACTGAAATTGTAATTTTATATGTAATACACAAAACTAATATTAAAACAGGAACAAGAAATAGAATTAAATATTCTATATTTTATTCTTAAGAGCTATGAAGATAGATTGACTTTTCGTTAAATTTTTTGATCGCCCTATGGCAGCTAAATAAAAGTCAATTCTGAAATCGTTAAAAATTACTAAATATATATGGGTATATGTTATATTCTATTTTTTCCGTTTGCTCCTAAAGAGATATCCAATTTTTATAAAACTAAAACCGTATTTTTGATTGAATTGCTATTTGGATATATGTTAAGAAACAAATAAATTATAATTTTACTTCCTTTTTTCGGATTGTTCCTTTGGCATATGATATAGTTGGGCGATACCTGCAACAGAATCAAGACTTTTTGCAAAGTTTCATCCAAATTGCTTTAGAAATGAGAGAATATTATTCCGTTGAAACAACAAATGGCGGACGTGGCTAGATCGACTCGTCTTGTTATGCTATTATATGTACTTCACGGCGTTGCCAACTTTTAGCCTAGTACTCAGATCGACGAAATCTGTTCGTCAGCTATGAGGGACAGCGAGAGCCAAACAGCTGCCAAACACTTTCCGTCAGGATCTTTTTTCACCATGGTACTCAGATCGACGAAAAAACCAGTAAATTACATCGCGTTGCCAACCACCTGAAATACGGTCTGGATGAACGTTCGTCAGGCTCTAGTGAAAAGATTAAAAAATTTAATCTTTTGGGGGGCTTCTTGTCAAAGCAAAGTGTTTCTTAGGTCAAAAATGTACGAAAAAATACAATAAAAAACTTCGCCTGTTAGAACTAAATGCAGCTATGAACTTTAAATTAGCAAATAATTATCAGTAAATGAAAAAACAACTGTTAAATTTAAATTGTATTGTTTTTTTTAATTTTTTTGTACATCGGCAGACTTGTCTTGCCAAGGTAGTTGAGAATATCTTTTAATGGGTCTAAGCCGCTAATATGGTTTTTGAATTTTAACTGCTTGTCAACAAACGCAGCTGATTGCCAGTACGACCGTGGCACGCTTAATTTTGATGAACTCTCAAAAATGCAGTCACACTGGAAAGATTAAAGTTGTTCCGCTAGCGAACTCTTTTTTTGATCTGAATACTGGGCTTTTGACCGAAAGTATAATACCCTCTGCACGTGTATAAAACAATAATTTTGAAAAGGCCGTATTAGTTCCAAACAAGAGATTGATAAAAAAAAAGTGAATGTTGGTTTATATTTATACCCGTTACTCGTAGAGTAAAAGGGTATATTGTATTCGTGCAAAAGTATGTAACAGCTAGAAGGAAGCGTTTCCGACCCTATAAAGTATATATATTCTTGATCAGGGTCACTAGCCGAGTCGATATAGCCATGTCCGTCTGTCCGTCTGTCTGTCTGTCCGTATGAACGCTGAGATCTCGGAAACTATAAAAGCTAGAAGATTGGCATTTTGCATGTAGATTTTAGAAGTTTCTACGCAGCGCAAGTTTGTTTCAAAATGGTGCCACGCCCCCTTTAACGCCCACAATCGCTTATATACGATTTTAAAAATTTAAATATTTCGGAAAAGTAAAAATGCAGTTTTATTGTGTTTATCAATACCTATCGAAATGTAGAAGAAATTTTTCAAATCGGACCATTCGTTAAAAAGTTATGCGTTATCAAAGTTTCTATCTCCATCTCCCTCGCACTCCCTTTACCTGAGTAACGGGTATCTGATAGTCGGGGCACCCGACTATAGCGTTCTCTCTTGTTTTTATTTTAATTCAACCGAAAACGATTTCTTAGACAACGATGTTAACTTTTGAATGAACATTTTTTGAAAGAGATTTCTGAGGTTTGTTTTCATGTAAACAATCATTTCCTATCAGAAAATGTTGGTTTTTAATCATCATGTTTCCATTTTGTTTTTACTTTGCTTTAAAAATAAATTTTTTTTTTCGTAAATAATAAAAATAAACAAAGCCTACATTAATTTATATTGGTCCTTGTTTATATTGATAATATAACGATTGCTGCACAACAGGCGGTTTTCCCCTTAATAAATATATATGTATAAATAAAACATATATGTACATATTTTAATATTTATGTACAGATTCACGTGTCAGACGACATAATTTAAGAAATATTGAATTGCACATTATTTGAAGACATTTAATCCATTGCATACATATATATGTAAGTACATACTCCACTATTTTGGTACATAGATATACATACATATGTAGAACTTATTTGACAACTCTGGTGGGGCAGCCATCATTGACGCAATCACTCTATTTTAAGTCTACCTTTCATAATTTCACTGTCGCCAGCAAGCACAAATAAATATTGATTTTTAAATGTCATTCTAGTCAATATAACGAATTTTTATACTATACCTATATACATAAATATATATTAAATTCGATATATATTCATATATGGTTTTTGCTGTACACGGCTATGAACAGAAGATATTTTCAATTAACTAGAAATTCGCGTGTCCGTTCGCCCATGGGTACAGACAATACAAGCAAAACCAGAAATCATTACAAAATGGAGATCCAAGAAGAACCTACCAGACGAAAAATGATTATTCTTTATTTAAAACACCGAATATATTAAACTAAAGCACTTGTTTCTTTGCGAATAGACCGCAGAATATTTGCTTATAGCGAACGAGAAGTTGATTTTCTCTATATAAGTACATATGTATGTATTCTTGTGTGTATGTATGCATGCCAAGCCACTTTGATGATTTCACAAAGTGTGTATGTGTAGAATAACATACACACTCAATTGGCAATCTTTCACATTTCACAAAATAAATTAAAAGGAATTTTAAAATGTTTAAAAACTATCCTTAAAGTAAAAATAATTTTGAATAAAAATTAATTATGTATTCGTTGTAATTGAATTTTAATTTCGGTGCACGTTATACGACGGGGACGGTACAAGTTACTAGTGTATTTAGTGAACTCACACAGCCATGGCTGCTGTTGATATTGCCACCTAGTCAAAAACCAAACAAGATATTTTTTGGTGTTGGTAGCTTTAAAAAAATAAAGAGCATACAGCATTGATAAAATGTATTTTTTAGCTTGGCCGGATAATTATCAATTGTTTTGGCCACCAATTGAAATAACTGACAGATAATTATACGTCATTATGTAAAATATTTAAAGCGTGGCAACTCTTAATATGGAACATCCATACGCATGTATATATGTACATATAACAATCACTTTCCAATACATGATACACAAACGAACAGAATTTATTCTGCACTGTTACACACATACTTGTATGCAAAACTATTCGCTTAGATTTTTGCGACCAATTTAGGTTATGCATATTTAGGTTATGTCTGAAAGTTTATTTTTTGGTCAGAAATAGTCCGTCTTGAAGCATACATGCCTTTTTTGTTTGATTTTATTTATGACTGCCAGAGAATACTAACACAGTAACACTAATGCAAATTCTATCGGTAATGAAATTTTTCAAAGCTTTTTGTTTCAATGACACAGCGCTTGTTTTTGGATGAATACGCACACAAAAACATTCACTAATCGTGCTAATTCATTTTAGCACACGCGCTTGAATTGAATTAAGTAGTACCTATAAGACGCTCTCGCTCGCTCTTCGCCTGGACAACGTCAACCGATAAAATGCTTCTTGTAGTCAACCGATGTTATCGTATAGCAATCGATATTATTCGAATAAGGTTCAGTAATTAGGGTATTCCCTAAACGCCGTTTAGTAAACTGCGGCAAAGTAGTTGCTGATATTTGATAAATAAAATGTCTGTAAAACAGGTGGGAAACCACCGACCAAAAGATATTTACCATTTTTATCGCTTAGGCAATACCCGAAATGACTCAAAATCGTAAGAGCTGTTATTAAATACTTTTGCTGAGGACATTATCAAATCAGAAAGTCAAAGTTCCCACAAAACGTCGATTAAACTCAGGTTGAGTTTGAAGCTAAAATCCATTTGTTTACATACACTCTTCCCAAAGAGTCCATCCTTTCGAAGCGGTTGGGATTTTTGACATATGTGAAACTCCAATTCCCACAGACCACAACCTCCATCCACCATACGATAACAGCAGATCTGAAATCTGGCTAATCATTCTAGTCTGTTGCATTATGCACAAAATTTGAAATAAACACAACAGCGCTATAAATGAAACAATCAAGTCGGACTAATTGTCTGCAGATTTTGCCAGCCTGCAGAAAAAATAAAAAAACACCTATTTCCCAATATTGTCTAAGTGGTAACATATCAAGTTCATTAAATACAAATATATTTGTTTTTGGTTTAATTAAAATTTTATATTTAATCTTATTATCAATATCAATGATGGCAGACGGCATAAGGATCATTGAATTCTTTTGACCACCATTTAATAAATCCAACCACTCCTCTGGCTTTATCAACCATGGACGAAATGTAATTAGAAAATTTTAGTTTGTTCTGTCTTCCCACAGAGATCCATCCACCATCCACCAATGGTCCATAAGGTTTTGCATTTCCGAAAATTCCCAGTTAGTTCCCCGTCCGAATTTGACGGACTTTTTTATGCGATAGTTAGGCGATGTTTTTTCGGTGCAACTCTGAGTTCTTCTTTAAGCCTAGTATCCAGATCGACAAACGATTACGCTAGCGTAAAAACTTTCTAGTGTGACCAAAAGTTTGAGAGTTCATCAGATTTATGCGTGCTACGGTCGTACTGTCAATCAGCTGGGTTTGTTAACAAGCAGTTAAAATTCAAATATCGTATTTGCGGGAAAGAGCCTTTAAAAGATATTATCAAATACCTTGGCAAGACAAGTCTGCCGATGTACAAGAGGCACCCCACATAGTATTAATGTTATTTTGTCCTCACATGTAAACACCTGCAATCGACTTTTGTGAGTTTTTTTAGTTTTTCCCTCCATTTCTTATAATGTTCAGTGAGAAGCGCACGCCAAAAGATTAAATTTTTTAATCTTTTCGCTATGGTTCACCCAAAGTTCATTTTCGCAGACTGGCAACGCTATGGAATTTTCTGGTATTTTTTCGTCGATCAGGGGACCGACGTGAAAAAAAGGCCCGACGAAAAGTGAACGCCAGCTGTTTGCCTCTCGCTCTCTCTCATGACTGGCGTACGATTTTCGTCGATCTGGATACTAGGCTTTATGACAGTGAAAATTGAAACATTCACTACGAAAATTAAAAAATAATGGCGCATTACTTTTGAAAAAGGAAGGCGCCAAATCAAAAAATGCTGCTTATACTTAATCATTTATTAATTACTGCTTAATGTGGCGGCATTAAGAGTTGCTCCACGCTTTCCTAGGCGCACACCGTACTCAACATGGAGCAGGTCACCTTTGAGAACGAGATGTATGTCCCCAGAAAAATATTTGTAGTTTACAATTACTAATAAAATATATTTATTGCAGGTACTAGGGAATACATTAAGAATAAAATGGCTCCCTTGTGTGAGACCAGAGGTAACACGGAGAAGTTTAGAAATTGAATTTTTGAAAAGGACCATTTGTGACCTGCCATTCAGGTAACTTGAAATCCATATAAGGAGATCAACTGAAAAACCTAACAGGTCAAGTTTTAGAACAAGAAGTAAGTGATTTACAGAGTCAAATGCTTTACTAAAGTCAGTGTAAATGACGTCTGTTTGAAAACTACTCTTGAAGCCCTTTATCACAAATGTAGTGAGCTCTAGAATGTTAGTGAATCTACGTTTAATAAATCCGCGTTGACACGGAGAAAGGACTGATCTCCAAAAGTGCTGCAAATGAGGAATAATTTTTTCAAAAAGCTTAGGAATAACTGACAACTTAGAAATACCTCTATAGTTAATGCCTTCTAACTTGTTACCTGTTAAAGGAGGAATAACAAATGATTCCTTACGAAAAATGAGGAATTGGGAAGTTTCTAGAGATAATGTGAAGAACTTGTAAAGAAGTTTGCACAGAGCCTTAGCGCAATACCTAAGCACTCACCCAGGAATACCATCGGGCCCTGGCGAATAAGCAGGCTTTATACGAAGAAGATCCAAACGAAGAAAGTGAAAAATTAGATAGTTTTCTAATTTATTCAAACCGAAAAACTGCGGTGGCTAAAATTATTACTAGAGAAAATAAACGAAAACGAAAAAAGTTGTCGACGGCTGAAATAAATTTTAACGAATGTCTATGCTATATTTCGACAAAGTACTTAGAGCCTAGCTTAACGAAGGTTGACGAAGACGGGGCGACTTCGCCGAGAGCGAGAGAGAACTTTATTGTGCTCCCACCTTTGCCCTAAACTAACTTACACTAAACTTCAAGTTTTTACAATTCCATAACAAATTCAAATTTGAGCCAACACCAACCCCGTTGAACACCCAACATAACGGAAGCGGCGCCAACTTGTGAATGGCCCGATCCTGACCATGCCGTCCTCCCCTGCGTGCCTGGCGACTATTCTGCCGAGGAGCCATTGTTGGGGCGGCAGGTTGTCCTCGGCTACGAGGACGAGATCTCCCTCGCTGATGTTGGGCTGCTGCTGGTGCCACTTGCCCCGAATTTGGAGGCCCAGGACATATTCCCGGGACCATCGCCGCCAGAACATTTGCCTGACTGACGAGACAAGCCGCCATCGCCGCAAGCAGTTGAGACCCTCCTGGTCCGAGGTTCGGAGTGGCGAGTAGCGGCCCGCCTGTCAGTAGGTGCCCGGAAGTCAGCGCCTCTCCGTCGCTTGGGTCGCTGCTGATTGCTCCGAGCGGCCGGGAGTTCATCACTGCCTCGATTCCCACGAGGACTGTCCCCAGCTCTTCTGTGCTTAGGAGCGCGCTGCCCACCGCGAGACACCTGTCTCCCATAGTCCGCCCATGTGCGGAGCCCGCGGTGGTGTGAACACAAATTCGCATCCGCTTTTTGATGCGAGTTCGCGCATCGCGTCGGCTTCGTCCTCTATCCTCTCTCGAAGGGTCCGGAAGTGGCGACTAGCTTTGAAAAGCCAATAAAAAGGAATCTGCGGTTAAATCTGAAACAACTTCTAGATGAACCGCTTTGGACGCAAAACAAACGAAGAGCGCAATGTAGGACTTATACGGAGGCCTACCACGAATTTTCAATGTCGTAAAGACAGGGCCACAAAAATCAACGCCACATATTGCAAATGGGCGGAGAGCACGGAGACGATCTGCGGGTAAATTTCCCATAATTTGTGTTATTAGTCGAGGTTTACACTTAAAGCAGCGTATGCATGATCGAAATATCTGACTGCAGACCTCCTGAGCGTTTACGATCCAAATACGCTGTCGAAGGAGACTCACAAGGGCTCGTGGACCAACATGAAAATGGAATGGTGAAGATGCCGAACATAACTCTGCACAAATTGGGAGCGTTTTGTTAACAACAATGGAAACCTGGCATCGTATTATATAGGAGCATTAGCTAGTCGCCCAACAAAGAAACGTGACACCAAGTCCCCTTGTCTTCATGGATGAATGGATTCAATCGCTGAAGACTTGGGTCAACTCTGGATCCTTTACGAACTTTTTCTCTTTCTTCATGATACTCGTGCTTCTGCAATATCTCGACAATTTTTAGAAAAGCTTCATTATATTCAGTCGGCGACAAAGTTTTTTCAAATACCATACTTTTGTCTTTGCATTTTCTTATGAAGCGGAACATATAAACGAATACCCGAAGCAGTTTAAGGTGTGACGAAAATCCATCGATGACATCTACCAAATCCAAATTTCTTACAGCAGCGGTCAGTCCGACCGCAGTCTTCCTCGATTCTTGTAATAGGACTTCTTCATCTAGGTCAAAGTGTACATTTTGGGGCCAGTTTGCATCTTCCTCTTTTAAAAACGCAGGTCCTGTATGATTTCGTCGACGTCACAACCTCTTGATACAATATGTGCTGGGTTCTGTTTCGTTGGAACATGCCGCCATGTAGCTTCACCTGACCACTCTTGAATCTCCGCAACTCTATTCGATACGAATGTGGATAATGAAGATGGATGAGACCGGATCCAATGAAGCGTAACTTCAGAATCCGACCAATAAACAATTCGATAGGTACCTTTAATAGGGGCTTGATTTTGTGGCAGAGATCTGCGAGAAGGTAAGCGGCACATAACTCAAGCCTTGGGAATGTCTTAGTCTTGAGCGGCGCTACTTCAGACTTTGAAGTCAACAGCGATATTTTATAACCTTCTGCAGTTTTGCTACGGATGTAGACGGAAGCTTCATAAGCTCATAAGGATGCGTTGGCAAAGGCATGTAATTGGACCGGTGACATCGGATCGGTATGCACAAACCGGGGAATAGATATTTCCTCTAATTTAGACAATGTCATTTTTATCATATTCCAAGCTGTTTCCAAATGAATAGGAATCGACTCATCCCAATCTAACTTATTTAGCCAAAGTTCCTGCAATAGGATCTTTCCTCTAATTACAATAGGACTTAAAAAGCCGAGGGGGTCAAACAGCTTCGATGTCACCGATAGTATGTTCCGTTTTGTCGCTCGGAGACCCATGACAGCAGTGTCAATTTGGAACTTGAAGGCATCTTCGTTAGGCAACCACGATATTCCTAACTCTGAGTCCGAGATGGGTATGGATTTAACTGTGCTCTCAGATGCGGTAACGTCAGGTGAGTTTGAAAACCACTTTGTCAATTC